CCCCAAAACCCCAAAACCCCAAAACCCCTAAATATATCAGTAGTATTGAACCTAATAATTTCTGGTTTTGTAAGTTGGCATCTTGCTCATATCCTTGATGCTCCTCGTTCGATATCTGTTTGCTCTGATAGCTCCCCTTACTGGCTTCTGGCAGTCTTTATGAGTATTATCTGTGATATTCTCCTTTTCTTGTTCTTTAACACAAGATTTTTCTATATTGTGGCACTTAAAATATACTTCTGCTATGTCTATTCGATCTATTAGCAAGTGTCTTTCCAGCTAAAATTTCAGTAAGTAAAATATACTTTGGTGATATTCCTTAAAAAGACTTTCTGAGTTCTGTTGATGTCTAAGAATTGATAAACCTAAGTGTACCAAGAAGTTATCTTGTCCTCCAAATCTGTATGATTTGTCATGTTGTCTAGTACACATCTGAAGGCATTAAATGCTGGTCCTAAAGATTCTAACCAGGACTTACTAGATTTAGCTTCATGAATGTCCTGTCTCTCCTCTCCTTCAGCAAGTGGCTTATTTTACTGTGATTTTAACCTTGTTCTGTTCCTTGCTAGTTGTGGATTCATAAGCGAATTTTATCTCTTTTCCTAGGAAATTATTCAAAAAGTTACTTTTGAGGATAGTCTCTGATTTCTGCTGAGACAAACTCTTGTTCCTTCTTGTAGATCTTGTCTTGAGACTTATAAAAGATTGGTTTTGTTCAAACATCAACTCTTTTAAATGTGTGAAGCTTGATTTGGCATCTTCTACAACAGAAATATCCCTATTTTGCATTGTTGATTCTCTGACAGAAGAGCCTGGAGATTAGGACGAGTCATACTTGACATTTCTCGATATTTATTTAGCTATAATTCGTTGTTTAATAGAGGCCTTGGATGTACTCGGGCACTCTTTAGACAGAAAGGTTCTCTCAAAACTCTGCTTCATATCATTAAGGGATCTAGATTTGTAGCATATCTTACCAAGAATGTTGGGATATTGATTGAGAATTCCCATCATTAGATTTTTCTTTTAGAACTTTGAACTTATTTCCAGTTTGACAGCTTGGTCGAGCTTCTTTCACCTCCCAAAGCGGAGGAGGATGTGTGGGACTCGTTTTGTTCTGTCTGGTAGAATATTGCAAATGAGTTTAGTTCTGTCTTATTCGTTTTCTCGTTTCTTTCTCTGGCTAAATTTTCTCGGCTAAGGGATCTTTCACTACATACAGAAGGAGCTTTTTTCTTCAAATATCATTTCAAATTTTGTCTATATGTTCTCTTTGATCTGGAATCATTGCAATAAATTCTTTGTTCCCTTCTTTGAGAAACTGATGCTCTCTTCTTAGACCGAGGGCAATACTTTTGGTATTCAGTGGTATCAAGCTGAGTAAGAATCCTCACACAATGTTCGATATCATTTATCGAAACTTGGAAAATATCTATCAACATCTCAAAATTGGATTTATTTGTAATTATTTCTGTCACATGATAAGATGGCTCAAGCCAGAAATTGGGTGAAGTACCCACATTTCTGAAGTTCATCCACTCTCAAGGCTAAGTCTCAGTAAATTCTGAGATTTTCTAGGAAAGCTTTGTCAATTTCAGGATGAAATTTATTACAGAATGTTTCATAGTAAAACAAGGGAGGTTTGGCCCAGATCTCCCATTTAATGTACTTAAGAAGCCTCTGTTCATGATCTTTTACTAGAGCAGACGGGAAAGCTGCCCTTTTGGATACTTTTTGGAGATGTTTTAGTTTAATCGCATTTGGCAAGATTTCATTATATTTTGAGGATAATAAGACAGCAACTACTCCCCAGAGATACTTTTCTTGTTCAATGTGCCTTACAGGTAGATGGCTGAAAAGTTTGTCAATGTATATTATTGAGACTTGGATTGTTAGTAAGGTTATAAGTTGCTCTTTTTAGCCAAGTAAGTTACCCAATCAATCATAAATTTTCTTACGAGTCTTAACCTTTTATTCTGTTTAGTATATTTAGTCACTTCAGATCGTTGTTTCGGATCGATTGATAATAATTGGTTTTCAAATCAGTATCTATACAAAATTCATGCAAGAGCTCTTTAATTTCAGACTCAAAGAGTTAATTTGATGATTCTAAGAGTAAAAAAGTGTATCCCAAATCTATGAAATTCCTGTTTAAACTCTAAGGAAGAAATATACCTGAGGTTCTGGTTCTCCTCCTGAACAATCTGCTCATAAGTTTCAAATTTGGGTGCTTTAAAAGCTCTCAAAGCCATTAACGAATAAAAGTTTAAATATTTCAAAAATCTTCAATTTTTAAAAATTTCAAGGGGTTTTGGGGTTTTGGGGTTTTGGGG